GAAGGGGGCGGAGTCTTGTGAAACCCATCTTGAAACATTCGCTCAGAGCCACTGTACCTGGAACTTTGGGTCAAAGCAACCCAACCAATGTTGTCTTAAGGAGAAAAAAATAAAACACCAGATTTTAATTATATGATGATTCTTTCTCTTCTAGGCAATTATTAACAAGGATTTTGAAACATTTGCTGACATAACAATGAAAGATAGCAATCAGTTTCACGCTGTTTGTTTGGATACATTCCCTCCAAATGTTTACATGAATGATACATCCCACGCTATAGTAAATCTTATCCATGAATACAACATTGCTAGTGGAAAGAACAAGGTTAGTATATATAATGAAGTGTATTTTTATATTTTTTGGTGGTGATACTGTAGTGTGGATTCATTTTTATGTTATGCTTGAAATTTTTTTTTTTGGGGTGCTGGTCAGTGCAAACACACAAGACTGATATCTAGAGTGTAGTTGCAAGGAAGAGAATGTGTGTTCACGAGATAACATTTTTATCTGTGGCATGAACAGATGCCAGGAAAGCTGCTAGTTAATGGTTTAAGATCCTGGTACCTTCCTGCAGAACAGTTGTGGTGTTATGTGTGCCCAGCCCGAAGGAGAGACAAAATTTAGGGCAGATTTTGTACTTATGCTGCCTACTAATAACATTTGTTAAGAATGTGCTGTAAGATATATCATTAGTTTGAACCAATAGGGGACCTATTATATTTTAGAACCAGAATTATAATCAATAGGAATCAGTACTTCTTCCAGAATTTGAACATTTTCTAGCTGCGGGGGATACACTGTTTTCTTTAATATATTTGGAAATCATATTACAACGCAGTCTCCTAGACATGCTGCTCTTTGTAAATGGAATTTTGTTCCTTTTTATTACACATTTTATTTAAAACATGTAATTGTTTATGACTGGGATGCCTGTCACAGTGGCTGTGTGGTGCGAGGCGTGGGCCTTGTGCCACTCAGACACTGGGACTGTGGGTTCGAATCCCACTCAAGGCATGGATGTTTGTCTTTGTGTGTCGTGCTGTCCTTACCTTGCGACAGGCCAATCTCTCGTCCAAGGAGTCCTACCAAATGTCTAAATAGATCAAGCAATCTCCAGGAAAGAGAGGAAAAAGCAAACCCCGCCAAAGCAGGACAAATGCTAAAGAAAAAGAATTGTTTATGACTGGGATACGACATTCTCATAATGGTGAAGATGTTGAATGTGGTCTTCTGGATTGTGACACCATTAGTCTTGTAAGTGGTTACCATTGTTTCAGAGGAATGTTGGTAATCACTTGCAGGACTATATAACAATTAATTTATATTAATTTAAAATAAACCAATATTCAAGTAAAATAAACTTCGAATACAGATCCTGGTTATCTTATATGCAAAATCCTTTAATCTGCATTCTTTGTTTATCCAGATCTGGCCTGATTGTTGTGTCCATACCAGGTTTATAGTGCAAAAGCAGTGTGTTCACTGCTGTTTTGCAAATGACAAAAATTTAATGACTAATGTAATCACTGTATGTTGCCATTGTGGTAAATAATAGAAAACTGGTTAACAGTAGCATACTGGCATAATTTTTCACAATAAAAAGGAATTTAATTATTTTATTCACGATAATTTTAAGAAAAACCCAAGCAAAAAACAGGTGCATTTTGTAGGTTATGATTAAATAATATCAAGTATTATTTTGTTAAATTTGGAGACACGTCGTCTGCTAGTTATTCTTTGAGCAGCCAAACCTCAAATATTTGTTCATTCCTTCCCAGGTTGCGTACACTTTTGATGCTGGTCCAAATGCTTGTCTCTATCTTCTGGATTCTGAAGTTCCGAAGCTGCTACCCATTATTAACCATATCTTCCCACCAGGAAATGAAAGTGTGGAATATTT